AATATAAAAATTTTATTTGTAATAATTAAACTTTAACAGAATAAAATTAAAAAAAATTAAAACTCTACAAAAATGCCAAAAAAAAATGCTTTTTTAAAAGAAATGTCTAATTTAGTCATTTTAAAATTAAAAGATCTTTTATAAAAAATTTTACCAAACAACTTTTTACTCTGCATGTACTTTTATAAAAAAATTTTACCAAACACTTTTTACTTCTAAAAATAGTCATTCCACGACAGATTTTTTCTAAAAGAACTTTTATTAAAAGTTTCAATATCACCAAACGGACTTAAGGCAACATAAAAATTAAAAAAAAAAAAAATCAAAAGTAAAAACGTGTGTGGATACAAGTTGACACCAAAACAATCTCCCGAACCGGATGAACCTAACCAGTTCAATTTACTTTTCTTTTTCCATTTGGACAAATTAACATGCGTCTAGAAACCCTTAAACTCATCATAAGAAAAAACTATTTGCCTTAGCTTGTTCTTTTTCTTTTTTTTCCTTGGTCCTTTTGATGTTGCTGTAGCTTGTTCTTTCTGCAATAAAAAATGTATTATTTTTTACGTCCACCCTAAACACATGCTAGTATCAAACTACATGGCAATTGGATAGTCCTGAGAGCTGCCTTTTCCCGAACCAGGCTAGACCTAATTGGTTCAATTAATTTTCACATTCCATTTGGACAAATGAGGAAGAGAAGTTTTCAGTGATGGGTCCTTTTCTTTTTTTTTTTTTTTCTAAGACAAGATATAAACCCTGTAAGCTTTTAAATTTTAATTTTTTAGAATTATTTATAAATAAAAAATAAATATATATAAATTCTTTTATTTTTTTAATCTTCCTAAACGTGGGACTTACTGCATTTCAAACTATTAACAGATTGATTAATTGAGTTTGATAACCAGCTAATTAAGTAAAGGTTTGTTTTATCCAGTCTCTCAGCTTCAGTGGACAAATCCGTTCCCGCAAAAAGTATGGTGGGCATCTGCTTCCTTAGCAGCTTCCATTGCAGGGAAAATCAATGAGTAAGCCTCGCACTTTACATCAGCAAATACTTGCTGGTATATCACATGATCAATTCTCCGACTGTTGTCAAGCCATCATGTGGAGACACAAATAAACGAACGCGCTGCAAAAGCGTTGCAAACGCGTTCTTCCCAATCACAACCACCACTGACTCCTACTTCGCTCCAGAAGCCAGCTGATAAGATCAGAAATTAGAAAGAGGAATTAGAAAAGAATAATAGAACCAGAAGGGAGAATCCAAGGGAAGAAGAAGAAGAACCAGTGAGGGATAGAAGAGAACTGAGAGATAGAAAGAAGACAATTCTGTATTCATCAATCAACGCCTTACAATTAAATGAGAATATCCTTTTATCCGGCTAACTAATCCCTACTTAACAGACTAACCACTAACTAATTACAAATGAATAGCCTAAACCCACCCACATCAGCAGCTCCACGTTAGCAAGCCTATTTTGGAGTGGGTAAATGGTTCAAGGAAAACTTTTTGTACCTAACTTTTATACCTTCTTGTTGATTTTTTAAATTTATTTGAAATATATGATATTGATAGCATATAAAACAAGTTGTCCTTATATATAGCTGCCTTTTCACTTTATCACCAGCCTAGTGCTGGAAACTAGCCTCTCACCCCACACTTCCATATCCCAACCTCACCCGAATCTAGCCCCAATGGTCTTTTGGCTCTTCACTAAATTGCTCTATTTGTACACTTCTTCACTGCCTCTTTGAACTCGCCTGAGAACTCCAAATCATCCTCTTCAATTCAAGCAAAATTTATCATCCGTCTCTCTTTCTCAGGTACCCACTTTCTCTTCACTCCCCTTGGGTAGGCTTTGCTTTTGTTAATGAATTTTGCTTCTGGTTCTCGGATTCCTCTCGGTTTACTTGGTTTATGCTTATAGATCTGTTTTTGATTTTGGGTCTTTCATTTTGTATGCTAGGTTTATGGTTATGTTCTTTTTAATCTTTCTTGTAGTTCATATGAATTAGATCTTAAATTTTGTTCATTGTTTAATTTATGGGGTTTAGTTGATGAGGATTTTGTGATTTAAGGTTGCAGATTTGAGTTCTGGTGAATTAGTTCCTATGTCACATTAAATTTTATCAAGAATGACTAGTAAAGTTAGTCCAGTCTAAACACCAACCAGTAGCCATACTACATGACAATTGGATGGTACCTGAGACCCGCTGCTCCCAAACCATGCTGGACCTAACTGGTTCAATTTATTTTTCTTTTTCCATTTGGACAAATTGACAAGCCTCTAGAAAAGCCTTCAACTGCCTTAGCTTGTTTTTTTTATTATTTCATTTTATTTTTTTATCTTTATGTTGTGGTAACCTTTTTTTTTTTTTTTTTGGGTTGATACTTAAAGTTTATAAATTAAATTTTAAATTTATAATTAAAAATATAAATAATTCTATCATCAAACCTGACAAACCATATAAGAGATGGTTGCATTAGTTTGTTCTTTATACAATAAAAATTGTGTTATTTTAGAAATCCAGGCTAAACACACCCTAATACCAAGTGTTACATGCCAATTTCCCAAACCGGCTGGACCTAACTGGTTCAATTTACTTTTCTTTTTCTATTTCGACAAATTAACAACATCTAGAAAAACCTTAAATTCATTAGAAAAAACTATTTGCCTTAATACCAAAAAAAAAAAAAAAATTCTTGCCTTAGATTGCTCTTTTTTCTTTTTTAACCCTTCTGATGTTGCCTTAACTTGTTCTTTATGCAATAAAGAATGTGTTACTTTAGAAGTCCACGCTAAACACATGCTAGTACCAAATACTACGTGGCAATCGGATGGTTCCTGAGACCTGCCTTCTCTCAAACTAGGCTGGACCTAACTAGTTCAATTTATTTTTCTTTTTCATTTGGACAAATGAGTAGAAGTTTTCAGTGATTGTTCCTTTTTTTTTTTTTTTTCTCTCTCTCTTTTGAAGCTGTAATGGCAGGTGGGATAGACGAAGCTCTTCACGATAAAATAAATCGAAAGATCCATGGTCATGTTATAGTAGACCTTTCAGCCTGTAGTATTTTCAAAGTGCCTAATCCTTTACGCGAGTTAAATGAAAAGGGCTATGAACCTCACGTGGTCTCCATTGGCCCTTACCACCATGGTAAAGAGCACCTGAAGGCAATGGAGGTGCAGAAAGTGAATAGTCTAAAATTGCTTCTTGGCCGAACAAGAGAAAATAGTGTGGAGAGATATGTGACGGCCTTGGAAGAAATGGAAGAAGTAATTGTGCCATAAGTTTTCCTTCCACAAGTTCCACTTTCTGTTGCAATGTTCGTTCACCCTGATTAATACCTCGGGGTAGAAGAAGTGCGCTTCTGAGATCAAAACAGAGTCGCGGAGTCTGTTAAACATGGTGGCAACGACTTCATGATCACCCAACCAATTATCGAGAACTCCACTGTGACAAAGTAATTCAACGTCCTTTCCTGTGCTGATGAGGCCATCCATGAATGTAATATAATCCGTGAAGCATTTTGAAGAAATGCCCCTGTAATATTGTTCATAAGCAACCAAATTTCGAAGGATGGATTCTGTATCATCATTGATTACTAGGGTTGGAATTGACATCACCTCCTTTTGAAACTTTATATCAAACAATTTCCCCTGATTTTTCTGGAACTTGATCCCCGCCTCATTGAGCTCAGTCGCAGAACGAATGAATTGCCATTTGGTTAAATCACATGACCTTGGAAAACTTACTATCGCTGCTGAACATTGTTGGACGACCATTTCAGGGGTGAACATATCAATTAACTCGTGAGGACTTTTAACTTCCTCTGATGAGTAGGAGAGATCATGGAGCAAGCCCAGTAGATGCTTAACGTCTTGATTCTGGGTAAGTGCATTAATTGGAGATCCTGGCATCATTCTACCGAAGAATCTAATTGCTTCATCCGCCATGCGGGCCTTCGCAATGTCTAACGGCAGACAACTAGATAGGGAATGTAACTTGGAGAGTACAGAGAAAGGAAGTTGATTTTCAACTAGCAGCAGATCACGCATTGCCTTTCTCATATAAAAATTTGTGAGAAGCTTCTTCATGCTACTGTGGAAGGTAAGCTCAATGATAAAGCATCCATCAAGAAGCATCATTTCTACGAATTCTTTTCGACCAATATGATCCAGAGGTTCTGAATAAAACTTGCGATCTCCATGGGCATTGATTTCCTTTATTGCTGCGGTCATCTTGCTTCTATCTACTTTGTTACAAACTTTTTTTTCAATTCTCTCTTATCATCATCAATCAGTTTGACCATTTGCAATACAATGTTATGTTTTCCAAAAAAAGAAAAAAATTAGTAGCTTGTGTTCATTTGAAGTCAATTTGTAAGGGGTTATCCGGATCACATACCCAGTTGCTTGCTGGAAAATTTGGTTTCAGGATTGGCACATTGCCGGTTAGGTATTTAGGATTACCATTGATCACAAGAAAGCTTGCCAACAAAGATCTCAAGCCTTTAGTCTCCAAAATCACTGAGAGAATGTCCTCTTGGGCGGCCAAACATCTCTCTGTTGCTCGTAGATTACAACTATTCTCTTTAGTAATTCAAGGCATCACCAATTTTTGGTGTTTTGTTTTCATATTACCTAAAGGGGTTATTAAAGAAGTGGAAAAGATATATGGTGCTTTTTTTTGGTATAATGAAACTCATAGTGCTAGAGGGGCTAATGTGAGTTGGCCACAAGTCTGTACTCCAAAATAGGAAGGTGACCTAGGCCTTCAAAACTTAACTCGGTGGAATCAAGCTTGCATTTTAAAGTTTGTATGGCTGTTATTCTCTAAGGTAGGGTCTATTTGTGTTGCTAGGGTCCAAGAAAACTTACTCAAAGGCAAAAGCTTTTGGTCAATTAACATTCCTTTTGATGCTTCGTAGGGGTGGAGGAAAATTTTAAAGCTAAGACCATTAGCTAGAGGGCTTATCCAACACATACCAAGGAATGAAGAGAACACTTATCTCTGTTATGATAATTGGCATCCCTCAGGCCCATGGCTAGAAGTTTATGGAAATTCTATTGTTCATGATGCAAGGATACCATCCCAAGCTAAACTGGCTAGTGTTATAAGTGGTAGATTTTGAAATTGGCCTCCTGCTAGATCTCCCCACCTAATGGAAATCCAAATACCTCTTTGATATTCATCCTAGGGAACGTGAAAATGATTCAGTTATTTGGGTGATCTCCCATTCTAGATCTTACAAAACTAGTCAAACTTGGCATTGGTTGAGAAATAAACAACTCAAGAATGTATGGCATAAACTTGTTCGGTTTCCTCATGCCATCCCTAAACACAACTTCATAGGTTGGCTAGCCATACTTAATAGATTGGATACAAAAGTTAGACAAAAGCGATAGATGCCCACCTCTCAAATACTTGTATCCTATGCAGCAATAGTTTAGAAACATTTGCACTTATTCCTTAAGTGTAGTTATGCTAGCAGAATATGGAGGCACATTAGTATTATGATCAATATTCCTTTTGTGGACTCTTGGCAAGATTTATTGCCTTGGATGAGGAAAAGGATCAGCAAAAAATCCTTGCTTAGTATTTTGATCAAACTCTCATGGAATGCCACAATCTACAACATTTGGATAGAAAGTAACAAAAGAATTTATCTACAGTTTTTTAGAAGTGAGAGTACAATCCTTCATGAGATTTAGTTTGAGGTTAGAGCTAGAATGTTGGAGTTTGCCCGCACAAGGTCTTCATCACTTCCTATGGCTATTGCAATTCAATGGGGACTTGAAACAATTGTGAAAGATTAACTTTCTGTGCAACAGTAGAATGTGTACTAGCTATATGTGTATTTTCTAGTCTCTTCTCTCTTGCAGTAGCTCCTGTGCTACTTTATGATGCTCACAAGTATTTTTGGATAAATAAACTGACCTTTTATTCGAAAATAAAAAATTGCAAGGATGCTATGTTGTACTTTAGTTTCTTTTATTTGAATGCATAAACTACTAGAAGTCTAACTAAAGTCGAAATTTAATACACATTTAGAGCAGACATCATAACAACCTTAGAAATGTTGTTTGACATCATAATTTATAACAATTAAAGGAACAACCTTAATGCATGTAGACACCAAAGTTATTCTTCAGCTAATCATTTTTTTTTCTTTTTCTTTTTTTTTGGTAAGATTATTATTATTATTATTATTTTATATTAAAGGAGAGACTATATAACTAATTGAACATAGTTCTCTTTTTGTCATCTCTTGCCACTTATTTTAAAGTTTAAACTTAATACTTTTAATTTCAAACTTTAAATTTTTCACTATTTAAAACTCCTGTTGAAAGGAGGCTCAGCTGATATTGTTGCAACAAGTTGTACTATTAACTGAAGAGGACAGAAGTGCGTCTAAGGTTGCGTTTTGAGTGGAAAAAAAATTAAAGTTCTCTTCTTTTACGTCTTTTGGGCCTTTCGGCTTCAAGTTAGGCCTCTATTTACGAACCGGCCCTTTGGACTTAATGGATCATCCCAAGGCCATAATTTTTCATGTGAAACCAAAAAAAAAAAGAGGCCTATATTTTCTTTTAGTTTGGGCCTATCTATTTCTTCCTCTTTCCTGATCTGAGCAGTGAGCAACACGAGAGAGCTGTCTCCCGGATTCATCAGCTCGAGCTTCTGCGGTACGATAATGGCTGAAAATGAATCTGAGTTGGACGGCGCTTCGGACTCGAACATAGTCTCCGATCAGTCTTTGAAACTCGAAGGTCAGTTGACGCACCCTAGCACCACCGCCAACGCCGGCGCTGGTGGTCTTGAAATCACCTGCTTTAGCGAGCTCGTGGATGACACTACCTTCCACTTCCAAATCATTCGTTTCCCTAAACAGGTATCGATATTTAATTAGCTGAATTTCTGACCTTTTTTATATTCAGAAGTTGATCGCTTTCTAATTACAAACAGATATATGCATGGATCGGTTGCAACTCTACAAAATTCGGTGACTTGTACGCAGCTGCATCGACACGACCTGTAAGATTATAACCTTCAAAATTTAGGGATTAATAATTGATAATGAATGCTGGTTAAATTGTCATTTTCTTTGATGGTGGAAACAGAGCAACACGGTCGGTGTGACTTCCATGCTCGGAGGTTCTTCGGATAACACCGGGTCTGGAATCGCTAGGCGATTAGGTAAATTTCTACTAATATTTTTTTGTTTGGTTTCTTTTTATGTTTCTTTTGATTGTGGGCTAAATGCAATTTTTTTTGTTTCCATGGCAGTGTTAAAAACTGGTCTTAACATAATTCTTGCTTGCAGTATCCCAAAGAATAGCCCCATGCTTGAGGTTTGATTTGTTCCTCTACCATTCTTTTTCTGTCTCTTATCATAGGTCATAATAATGCATTGAAGTTTCTTTTTGGTAGAATATTGTCATTTATTTATATTTTTTCTTGGTTATGATTTTGCCTAGTACTGGTATTGGAGAGATTGTTTGTTTGAGTATTCTCACATACCCTTTACATTTTAAGATTTTCATTTTGCTTTATACACAAGTTTTTAACTTTTGGTCTGAAGCCATATCCAGACCTGTAGGAAACCTTAATGGATTTTAACCATTGGTAGACCAATAACTTTCCAATGTGAGTGAGAGTGGTGGGAAGACAAGCGTATTGCTGGTTAATTGCTCTAATAGCCCTACTCCCTCTTTCCAATTTAAGTAAAGAGATGAGCATTGTCTAATAATTTCACCTGCCACAGCATATTCCTGCATGCTTTGGAACATTATATTGTTGATTTCACGTTTACCCTTTTCTTTCTTGAAATTTTAGGCAAATGCTGAAAAGAAGCTGATGGAAAAGTTAGTCAGTTTGGGATACACGCAGCCAAGATAATGATTTGTGAGAATTTTCTTCCATGGAAAAAGCTTCTATCTTCATTGCCTTGAACATAACAGCGAGATGTGTCTATCTGCACCAACTCCTGGTGGTTCTTTCTCCTTAACTCCACTTTATTGGTTTGGAAAGTAAACCCCCAAATGACAAAATACTGGCTATGATTCCTTAGTTGTTAATGATTTGTGTTCTATGATCTATATCTGTTATGAGCTTTGCTAGGGAAGATTTGTTTTTGTAACTAGTCAGTGCAAATTTTCACCTGAAGTTTTAGTTGGTGGATCATTGTATTTTTATGTTGGGCAATTATTGGACAATGCTTTTTGCAGAACTTGCATATAATTTTTTTTTCGTTTCTAAAACACCTATTTTTTTCCTTGCAAAACTAATTCAAACCTAAGACACGGAAAAGTATTTTTAATAAATTTTAAAAATGATCTCTCAAACAGTTCCTAAACAATGTTCGGTGGAAATTTGGGATTGAGATGTTCACCTTCACCAGTTCACCGACAATTAATAAAACCCTCTGTATCTGTTTCTTTGTATTTTCTGCATCCTCATATTTTTCTTTGTTAAAAAAGAAAGTTACTCATTATGGAGATTATTTAAATGCCTTGATCTCTATTCAGTGTGTTGAAATTAGTTAGTAGGTGCCAATTTAATTAAAGCTCTTACTGCCTCAGTTTCAAATTAGTGGGTTCAATGTATAGATTTTTTGATTAATCAGTGTATTAGTAAGCAGAGAAAAAAAAAATCGGTGTATTAGTAGTAGTAAGGAGATAATTCTAAACCATGTCAATGTACATTCTCAAGCTTGGATCTATTGATAAGGTATTGTTTTGTAGGTCAAGCTGAAGCCTTAAGGCCAATACTCAATGAAATTAATTTACTTGAGTGCATAGACTGTAGGGTAAGGGTTGTACCATTAAGACTGTCAAGAGAGAAATTAACCTCAAAATGGATGAAAATTGGCTTGGGAACATATGTCCAAAGTCCAAACCAAGAAGAAAAAAAGATCTTTGTCAGGTGACTTCTATTTCATGATGGAAACTGTAAAATAAATTATACATGAAAAAGTAATGTCATTCATTTTATATCTATTAATGTTAGTTGAGAGTTTCATGTTTACTCTTTACTTAGAATACTATATAAATATTGGGAACGAGTACCTTGAATTCCTATCACTTCAACATTTCTGAGTTATATTGCAATGGATAAAATTTAAATTTGTTTCATTATTATTTTTAAGAATGAAACAATTCAAATTAAGATATTAGAGGGGAATTAAAGCATTGTATAAAATCAAACTAAGAATTCAACAAATCTTGTTGAGTGGCAGACATGGAACTTTCAGCGGAATGATTCGCAGCAACTTAGATTATATGTGTTGTCTACATTTGATAGAAGAGTTGGTTTGCCAAAGAGATTCAATGGAAAAACTTAAAAAAAATTAAGGATCTGCATATGTCTAAGTCAAATTCTCTTTTTTTAATTTTACTTCATACATTTTTTTCGTGAGAAAAATGGAGATTGTATTGGCTAAGAAGGACCAAAAACATTGGTTTGAAGAATGGAATTATTGGTGGAGCCTAACAACTGAAATAAAATTATTTATGACACATAAATAAGTAAATAAAAATTTTAATATTACAAAATTGTTATTCATTTGTTCATTATTATTTATTTATTAAGGGGAGTCAAGGCACCTTCAAGCTACAACTAATTGGAAGACATCATATACTTTCTGTCACAAAATAAATTTTAAAGAATTTCGAAACAAAAAAATTTATTCACTTGCATAAAGCTTTTATTTACATCCAAGCCTGATTAGGGAATGTTATTTACAAAAAATAGATCCTAAGTTTCATAAAAAGATGAACAAACAGACTAATAATCAAAACTAACTTCAAGTGTTGCTGATTTATCAGCCACCAAGATTTTGTGAGCACCGGACGGTAAAAGATTATAGGCAGCAGCATTAATGATGTTGAAACTATCACAAACATTGAACGAGAATTTCACCTTTGCATTTTGACCAGCAGCAACATTAACTCTCTGAAAACCGATCAATTGCTTGATAGGAGCCCCATCAATCCCGGCTGGAGGAGCTGAATACACCATGACAACTTCATTTCCATCCCTCGTTCCGACATTGTGTACTGTGACTTCCACATCGATGAAGTAAGTGCATTCCGAATGTTCGATGATGACTGCTGGACATTGCGATCCCTGATCCTTGTTGGTATGGTTCTGGGGGTAGCAGTGTTGGCGCGGCTCCAGATTGAAGAGAAGCGAATGCGGTGAAGATGTTAATTCATATGTGAAATTTGTGTAGCTTATTCCATAGCCAAATGGGTAAACTGTAGGACCATCATAGAATTTGTAAGTTCGTCCTGGATAACCATCCACTGGCCTCAATGGCATGGATGTCATGGGCAATTGGTCGACATATTCATTCTTATACCATGTGATTGGTAACTTCCCCCCTGAAATGATCAAAAATGACAAATATTAAAGATTCATGATTGTAGTTTTTTGTTTTGGTTTTGAAAAGAAAAATATTTTGTATATTTATATTACTAAAAACCAAAAAAATCTGACAATTTGTTTATGAGAATTTTAAATAACAACTAGCTAAATTTTTTTATGTTACTCCAAAAGTAAATAAAATTAACAAAATAAAAAAATAATTACCTGGATTGTAGCCCCCAAAGATAACATCAGCAATTGCAAGACCACCTTCTTCACCAGGCCATCCAGCCCACAATATTGATCTAATTTTCTCGTTGTCTTTAGCAAATTGAATATCAACACCACCTGCCGACATGATCACAAGAATCACTGGGCCTTTTGAGCTTGCGGCGACCTGATTGATCAGTTGAGTTTGATAACCAGGTAAGTAAAGGCTTGTTCTATCTAGAATCTCGGCTTCAATGGACAAATCCGTTCCCAAAAGAAGTATGGTGGCATCTGCATCCTCAGCAGCTCTCATTGCTTGAAAAATCATTGAGTCATTATCGCACTTATTATGATGGGACCAGAATCAGAAGGTCATGAAGAAAAAAATCGCAATTAATTGGCAAACAATAGGTTCTGCATCAGAGCTTCATGAGGCAGGGATCAAGTTTGAAAAAAAGATCGAGGGTGGATTGTTTGATATAAATTTTAAAAAGGGGGTAACGTTAATTCCAACCTTAAAAATTGTTGATGATACAGAACCTATCCTTCGAAATTTAGTTGCTTATGAACAGTGCTACAAGGACATATCTTCAAGACACTTCATAGACTATATTAGATTCATGGATTGCCTCATCAACACAGGGAAGGATGTTGAATTACCCCGTCGTCATGATGTCATTGAAAATAGGTTAGGTGATAATGAAGTGATTGCTGACATATTTAACAGAATCTGTGATTCTGTTTTGGTTGACGAAGATGACTTCTTCTACTCCAAAATATTCAACAAAGTGAACAAACATTGCAGAAGAAAGTGGAACCGGTGGAAGGCAAACTTAAGGCACAATTACTTTAACACTCCGTGGGCATCAATTTCCGTCATTGCAGCGGTTATCTTGCTTCTACTTACTGTGCTGCAAAGCGTATATTCAGTTCTCGGTTACCAACATCAGCCGGATGGGAAATCTCCTTCCTAGATAATAGAGGCAGGAGTATGGTGGGGAATCAAGAGGGAAAGTCGTGTTCCATTTATCTATATGGTTATATGTTATTTTTTTCTGTAGCAATGTTTTGCAATAAATGAAAGTATAAGTTCAGACAATTGTTTACCCATTTGACTACTTCTAAAACGTAGTATCATGTTATTATGCATGTTGTCAATGGCTCATGTGGTATTATTTCATGCCCTTGGGGACTATAAAAGTCCTTTTCTTTCCTTTGGGCCTTGGACTTTGAGTTAGGCCTCTATTGCTTCAAGTCTGGGCCTATTTCTTCCTCTTTCTGAGCAGTGACCAAAACGAAATAGTATAAAGTCATAAACCACTCGAGCTTCAGCATTACGACAATGGCTGAAAAAGAATCTGAGTACGACAGTACTTCGGACTCGAACCTAGTCTCCGATCAGTCGACGCACCCTAGCACCACCGCCACCGCCGCCGCTGGTGGTTTTGAAATCACCTGCTTTAGCGAGCTCGTCGATGACGCTACCTTCTACTTCCAAATCATTCGTTTCCCTAAACAGGTATCGATATTTAATTAGCTGAATTTCTGACCTTTTTTATATTCAGAATTTGATCGCTTTCTAATTACGAACAGATATATGCATGGATCGGTTGCAACTCTACGAAATTCGGTGACTTGTACGCAGCTGCATCGACACGACCTGGAAGATTATAACCTTCAAATTTAGGGATTAATAATTGATAATGAATAGTGATTAAGCAGTCAATGTTTTGATGGGGGAAACAGAACAATATGGTCGGTGTGACTTCCATTCTTGGAGGTTCTTCAGATAACACTGGGTCTGGAATCGCTAGGCGATTAGGTGAATTTTTATTAATGTGTTTTGTTTGGTTTCTTTTTACGTTTCTGTTTATTGTGGGCTAAATTCAATTTTTTGTTTCCATGGCAGTGTTAAAAACTGGTCTTAACATAATTATTGCTTGCAATATCCCAAAGAATAGCCCCATGCTTGAGGTTTGATATGTTCCTCTACCATTCTTTCTGTGTCTCTATCATATGTCATAATATTGCATTGAAGTTTCTTGTTGGTAGAATCTTGTCAGTTATTTATTTTTTCTTGGTTTTGTTTACACCCAAGGACGGAGCTTGAGCAAAATGTTTGGAGGGCCAAAAATTTTTTTTATATAACCTGCAAATATAAGTATATAATATACCTAACATAATTTCACTAAGTAATTATTATCTACCAAAATTTATTATAAGTTACCATACATATACATTCTATATAATGGAACCTCTAACTACTCTAATTAATAAGAAACTCTAAATTTACCCTCAAAATTAAGTAGAGTATTTTGACTAGCCTCCAATTCAAAACCCAAAAATTAAAATTATGAAATAGAGGACTTGTAAGGTGATTTATGTAAACTCTGAACTTTCAACTTGTATTTTTGTATATTCTGCAAACATAGTGTAATCTTAAAATTACTAAAGACTTGGAGAAAAGGCAAAAACGAATGAGCATGGCTAGAATTATGGTTTTTCCAAATAGATATGTTAATAATTTTATAAATAACTAGGATTATAGGACATATATTAATTTCTTTTCAAGAGCTTAGGGGTACGATGCCCCCCCTAGCCCTACTTATCGTCTGTCTGTTTTCACCTAGTACTGGTATTGAAGAGATTGTTTGTTTGAGTATTCTCACATTTTGATTATTCTCACATTCCCTTCACATTTTTAGATTTTCATTTTGCATTTGACACAAGTTTTTAAATTTTGGCCTGAAGCCATATCCAGACTTGCGGGAAAACTTAATGGATTTTAACCATTGGTAGACCAATAATTTTCCCATGTGAGTGAGAATGGTGAGAAGACAAGCATATTGCTGGTTAATTGCTCTAATAGCCCTACACTCTCTTTCCAATTCAAGTAAAGAGAGGAGCATTGTCTAATAATTTCATCTGCTGTGACATATTCTTACATGCTTTGGAACATGATGTCGTTGATTGTACATTTGCGCTCTTCTCTCTTGGGATTGTAGGCAAATGCTGAAAAGAAGCTGATGGAAAAGTTATTTAGTTTGGGATACAAGCAGCCAAGATAGTGATTTGTGAGAATTTTCTTTAATGGAAAAACCTTCTATCTTCATCCCCGTGAACATAACAGCAAGGTGTGTCTAACTGCACCACCACCTGGTGGTTCTTTCTCCGTAACTCCACTTTATTGGTTTGCAAAGTAAACCTCCAAATGACAAAATGCCGGCTATGATTCCCTAGTTGTTACTGATTTGTGTTCTATGATCTATGTCTGCTATGTGCTTTGCTAGGGAAGATCGGTTTTTGTAAATTGTCACTAAAGTTGTCGATTCTTCCGCTAATCTTCCCCCTTTTTATTTTATTTTATTTTTTTTTTGAGTTATTTACATTAAATAATAGATTATATAATTGAATATAGTTATTTTCTTTCCTTAATTTCTCATCACTCATTCTAAGGTTTTAACTTATTAATCGAAGTCTTAAATTTTTAATCAAAAAATATATATAAAAAAATATATTAATTTTATATTTTTATTTAAAGATATTAATTTTATTAATTTTTAAATAAAAATATCAAATTTTATTTTTTATTTAAAAATATAACTTTTTTTTATTTAAAAATATTAATTTTTAATTATTTTTATTTAAAAATATCAACTTTAATATTTCAGTTAAAAAACTTTGGCAAGCTAACGTTGCTGCAATGAGTGAGTTGTGTGAATTGAAGAGGACAAAAACGGCGTTTAAGCTTGCGTTTTGAGCGGAAAAATGAAAAATTGAAGTCCTTTTCTTGCATTTGGGCCTTTTGACTACAAATTAGGCCTATATGTTCTTTTAGCTTGGGCCTATTTGTTTCCGTTTTCTGATCTGAGTAGTGAGCAATACGAAATAGCATAAACCATTGTAAGCAGTTAGATCTTTCTCTTGGATTCATCAGCTCGAGCTTCTGTTGTACAAAAAAAAGAGAAAAAAAACACATAAAGCAAAAACAAAAATAGAAATCGTTTTGCCCATTTCGTGTCTTTAATCCAAAAAATCTATTGTTTAAGCTTCATTGTAGGAATGTTGGACAATATTATTATCATTAAAGATTTTATTAAGATTATTAATTTTAAATGTAATTTTATTAATTTATAAT